AGCCATTTTCTAACTGTTAACTAGAAATAGATTGTTGTATGTATGTCGTTATATAATGTTTAATTTTCAACAAAATATTAATATATTCTGTCCATGTTCATAGTTGATATTATTAAGTGTTGTTTTTTTTTATTATTAATAAGGCTTCCATTATTTTTAGGCTTTTTTACATGTAGACTATGCTATTATATTTGTGTATGAACAAGTATGTTACGAATAGGGCCTAGTAGATATGCATGAGTATTTAAAGGAGACCTAATTGAACTATGGTCAGAAAGATGTAGTGTGAGTCTTCTTGTCAAACATGTTGAAGTGTGTGCTACATAATTGTTTAGGAATTTTGATTGATCAGGAATAAAATTATTTAATCGACATTTAAATTCGTCAATAATATTTGATCTATTTAATTTAGTTCTAAGAGGTGAATTATTATTTTTAACTATAAGCTTAGCAGTTTTAAATTTGTTGTAATTAACAATTGGTTTAATTTAAGAGCGCTTGTTTACTGGTATTGCACATTTTTTATAATGTTCTTATGTCTAGTTTCATATTATTTGCAATTTTGGTTCATCTGATTTTTATAAAAAATATTAATGTTATTGTTTATGTTTCTATTCTCGTCGTTGCTATTAGCAACCTTAAACAGAAAACGCCTAATATGGAAATCCAACAATCGATTAGAAAATCCGTTATTAATAAGCGTTTGTTTTACGTTGTTTAATTCTTTAAAGAAAAGCGAGTGAGAGGATGAATTCCCGTGCGCTCTCTTGAGGAAATTTTTAATAATATCTATCTTATACCTAAGAGGGCATTCACTAGAGAAATTTACAGGGCATGTCTCTTTACTAGTTTTTTTTATTGTTTTATCTTTCTCACCATAGCTCAATTAGATCTCATTTAAATACTGATGGAGACATACTGGACAGAACAAATATAAAACATATATATATATATATATATATATATATATATATATATATATAAGCAAGTGTAAATGGATATAAATCCGACAGAATGAAGAAATTTTGAAAAACAAACAAAAAACACTTAAATCTTATTAAAATGAAACTGAAATGTCGAAATGTCTGACGTTTCACGCCGTTTAATAAACCTTTTCAAGACAATATTCATCAAAAATACAATTCAGTTCAATAAACTTTTACAAATACGATGGACATAAAAACGGCAAGACTTATTCAGAACAGATAACTGAAAATTTTAAAATGATCAGCCTTCTGTTCTGAATAAGACTTGTGTTTTTATGTCCATTCGTATTTGTAAAATTGAACTGAATTGTATTTTTGATGAATATTGTCTTCTAAAAGGTTTATTAAACCGAAACGTCAGACGTCGACATTTCTTTTATTTTAACTACATTTAAGGATTTTTGTTTGTTTTTTCAAAATTTCTTCATATATATATATATATATATCCGTCTGTGTGTTGTGTGTGTGTGTGTGTGTGAGTGTGTGTGTAGATCGATACATAGATTTTTTAAGCATTCACAAATCATACAAAACGAGCGTAGTACCAGAAGTATGGTTTTCCCGGGATTCTTCATTGCTTGTGCATTCATTTACTTTTAGTGTTACTACGTCGTTTGGTATTGAGACAGAAGCTAAACACTGGGATTCTTTAACCAACGCAAATGAATATCTTTCTCCGTTTAACAGCTTGTGTTTTTAATCCTTCATACAAAAAAAAACACGTTCGTTTAAATTATATATTCAATGACCGTGTAAAAATTAAAAAAAAATATAACTGATAAATTTTAGAGAAACAGAATCTATTGTAGAAGATAATATTTCCTGTTTCTCTTTTTCTTCTTTCGTTCTAAAACCCGGAGGGAGTGGTCCGAGCGCCGATGTACTGAGCTGTGCTTCATTCTTGCCAGAGCCTGGGTCTCCACGAATGGTTTCTTGATGTGCTGCTCATGTGGAATATTTTGAGTGTTTTAACCTCATCTCTCTGTGTTTATAGCCAGTCAACATATATATATATATATATATATATATATATATATATATATATATATATATATATAATGACTTATAAAATTGAAAAGTCAATATTTACTTGAAGCGTTTGGTTAACACGTTGGATAGTTAAATCAAGTAGTGTATTTTAATATAATACAATGTCTATCCCGCTTTAAAAATGAAATGTTCTATATACAAGACTAAGTGACTTCTTCCATTTCTGTTAATGACGTGTACCTTCGTTTCGTAAAACTTCAAGACACTCCACAGATTCCTTTGAATTTATAACAGAATTGCAAGTATTTCTTGGGGGTGTATATTGGAGTGGTCTCCTGCTGCCTTCTCTAAATTATTTAACTAAGATTTTTATCGATTCAGACACCGATTCTTTAAATTTTTTAAGCATTACACCCCAGGCAAGGCGGGAGGCTACTAGCACGCAAGGGGTTACAGAGAGTTGGAGCGAGAACAAAGAGGAGTGATAGAGGAAAGGATGAAGAGAAGGATAGGGGATAGATCAGGACATCTGGTGACGTCGATTGACATTACAATTGAATAGTTGGTGATTATAGCTATCAAGAAAACAAGAAATGGGGAGAGAGTTCCATAAGTGAGAAATGCGAGACATAAAGCTATTGGAGTAGAAGAGACTGCTACATTTAACGATTTCGACATTGAAAGGGTGAGAGCGAGATGTCAGCCTAGTTGAACGCTTAAATTGATGAAGTCTGAGAACCAGCGAAAGCAGTTCATAGGAGCAGTCACCGTGAAAATATTTGTAAAAAAGACAGAGGGAGACGACGGCACTTCTGTGAGAGAGCGAATGCAGACGAGATGCCAGATCAGGGTCAATTACATTGCATATCCGTCTCTGGATTTTATCAAGGACCTTGAGACAAACAGAAGGGGCTCCAGTATATATATATATCAACAGTACTCCATGCAAGGGTGAATGGTTGATTTGTAGAATTGAAGGATCGACTACGGCGAGAAAGATTTTTTCCTGGCGCGGCACAGGGAGCCAAATTTCCTTGTGATGAACGAAGCTATTGACTCAATGTATTTGTTCCATCTCATGTCAGCAGACAATGGGAGACCGAGCAGACACGAAGAGGTCCTCCACCTGAAATGGAGATCTTAATTTGCCGTGCGATATTAAAATTATGTGGAGGCGGGAATGAGAAGAGATAGATAAATGACATTCTTCAGGACATTTTTGTTAAAGTGAACGCCAAAAATATGTCAGAATTAGGATACATATAAAAAAAAATTTAAATTTCCAATGAGTTATCTCGAGTATTATTAACCATCACTGGTCATCAACAGGAATGTATTGCCAGAATTTACAAAAGATAAAAGGTTTGTATTCGCATTACCTTGACATTTATGTTTTTGAAATGCTTGATTCTTACTTATATGCATATGTATCGAAAGTAGGTAGCATCTTTTGTAGAATTGTTTGCAAACAGATGGGACATCAAACTTACCTTTATTTTATTCTTTCGTTAGGTAATTATCTGATTTTTGGTTACCCTGTATTCTCTCATTTTTATATGCCTTTTCTAAATTAACTTGTATCTTATTTGACAATTTATCTTATACTGCAATTTTAGTATTATATTCCAGTCGTTCTCTAATATTAATAATCAAGATATGGCATCAATTGATATCTTTTTTTCATTAGTGTCATGGTTTGAATATTACAAGTTAAATTACGAGAGAGCGTGACGAACATGTAGCCAATATCAAAAATTGATGTACTTTTTTTTACTTATTAACGTTGAAGAATTGATTTACCAAAGGTTAAAATAACTCATGAAATCCGCACATATTGTAGCAGGGCGTTTTTGTAGTTAAGTTTTATAAGCAATGAGGGACCTCCACGAAAAAGCTTAAAATGAAATGTTAAAAATAAAAAATTATTCCTGAAGTTTTAAATTTAGCTTTAAATGAAAGCTAAATGATAAAATTTACAATACCCATTACGAAAAATGCTTCGGTGTATTTCATACAGAAATTATATCGATTGGAATAGACTAACTTTTTTTTTTCAGTAGAATCGATGATGACAGCTATTTTCTTAAGCATTTGTACAGAAAACATTATTTTTCGATTTAAAAATCTTGCAAAAATAAAATATATATTTGTGAAAGGTTATTTGAAGAAAATTAGCAAATTTAAAGTAAATCTGAGTTAAAATAAATATTATCGACTTATACCATAAAATGTTGTATACAAGCATTTCCTAGCTACAGCGTCTTGAATTTCTGATTGTTAATCGATTTATTAACTGTGGATTGATATAGTTTGAAGTGTCTAAACCTTTTGGGCCACAGAGTAGCGTTCGGTTAGCAAGGTCGGATTTACTGATGGCGTCATTTGTTTACATTTGGATACGCATTGAGCAGATATGAATGAATGAGAAAAAATCATGGAGAATTGTGTTTAAAAACAGTAAAATCGACAAGCCCGATCGGTTAAGGAACGTCAGGCTATTTGACGGTTCCGTATAGGATACAGCTTCGATTGCTGTCGGAGGACGCATATTTTCTGTTGAAACTTGACTAATGCATGGAATAATAATGCAACACAAAATGTACTTAGAACAAAATGTATTGAAACAAGAAAGTGTACACAATATTTACATATAGTCTTTTGTATATTCCTGGTAAGACCGTTCCTGGAGAATGTGTTGACTGAGTCGCAGTCGGGCAGAGTCTCTGATTGAATCTCTTGATTCCTCCCTCTCTTCCCGGTACCAACCATATTTATATGGTCGGTACTCCACTATGCAAATTAGGTGGATCCTGCCACAACATTTTCGATGAAGATTTCTCGGACATTCAGGCTGGTAAATGTTGTTAATACTGTTTATTATAAACAGAGCATTTACTTAAATATTTGTATCTATAAAAAGAACGTATAAACATAAAAAAATGTCTTTAAATTAATTGTCGGATTTTGTCCATTCCATAATATGTTTGTATGACTTTGAATTAAAACGTAAGAATTAAAAAGAAGATGAGAATCTTTCCCAACTCTTGCTTCTTTTCTGTAAAAGGTAAATAAGTGCAACTGACATCACAGTTGCTACATTTCTGGAAGCGTTCATTAAAGTAACTCCATAACACTGAGGATGAAAATCCTTTCACGCATTTTTATTTCAAATTAGATTTATTATTTCTATTTCCTTAATACTTTATCTGCTTGCTTTTACCTTTCTGTTCAATTCTTTTCTTTGTGAAAGAAAAGTTTTCTTGTTATTCAAACTTTGTTTTATTGAAATGTTATCTAATTCTATTATTCAAAACAAGTGTCCTTCGACAAATAACACTTCATTTCAAAAGTCTTTTGCGTGAATTGTGTTTTGGCACAAAAATTGATATCCTAATAAGGTTTTGGTCATTTCTATGCCAAATTCTAAAAGTCAATTAATTAAAAGCTAATAGACAAAAGGAATCAATCAAAATTCATTATGAATTTCTTGGATGAGAAATTATCAATATATAGGATATTTATAATTGAATAATTTTCTTAAATAACATAAATAAATCGAGACGTTTATATATATATGTCAAGAATGGCACCACACAAAGGGTTACATATATATGTCATATATGGTGCCACAAACGTATATCTATGATTAATTTCAAAGCATAGTTTGGGTGTGGAACAAGGCCGAATGTGAGGATCGAACTCACTATTCACTTGTAATTTTTCTAGTGAAACAAGTTTGCTAAACATTACACCAAGGCGGATGCCCTAATCTTATATATAAAGTACTGTTTATATGCATGTGTTTGTGCGTGTGTGCGCCCAAGCAACATCTCCGCTACAACTCGACCGATTTCAATGATTCATAGCTCAATCAAAAGACCTAGAAAAATTAGGTTTTCGTTGAGCTTGGATTCACGGTTAACAGACTTATATAGTGCAGAAAAGTGTTTGAAATATGCATTTTACTCGGCTTTCAACAAGCTGGAATCTATTTGTAAAACTTTCCTGAAATATAAAAAGCCAATTTATGTATGAAATGTTCATTTAAAATTTTTGTTTCAAAGATTTCAAGTAGTAAATTTATTTTCTTTGCGAAGCGATAGCGAGCAGTCGAAGCCTGCTAGTATATATATATATATATATATATATATATATATATATATATATGTGTGTGTGTGTGTGTGTGTGTGTGTGTGCGGGCGCGCGTGTGTGTGAATTAAAAATGCAAAAACTTAGCTGTTTATCTAGGCAAATGTTAAGATTTTATTTTGCAAAAAGTATTTATAGACATAAATAATGTATTAAATATTATATTCTGTTAAATTTCATCCACGAAAATCAAGAAAGAAAATGAATATATATGAGGATACTATTAAAGAACATACCGTTAAAAATGCTTTGTATTAAATGAGAACATATGAATTGCAATTTTCTAAACACACGTCAACAAAAATATTTCATGCATGGCCACATACACCCACAGACACATACACACACAAATGTATATATATATGTACACAAACATATATATATATATATATATATATATATATATATATATATATATATATATATATATATATATATATATATATATATATATATATATATATATATGCATACGTCCGAGAAAAAAAAATACGTGACCCTCTTCGTGTGACCGAAATTAGCTTATAGCACGTTGGTTCTAACGGCGATTTCTCCGGCAAAGTTTAAAGCAGGTTCGAATCTTGTCGGAGACACATATGTTTCTTTAAAAAGTTTTCTCACATATTCACTTTGGTAGACGAAAATAAATGAATATAGTGTTTAACAAGTCAACGTGACGTTTACTTAAATATGAATAACTAAAAGATAATGTTTAAAGTGATAAAAATTGTACTCCTTTGTACACACACACACACACACACATATATATATATATATATATATAATATATATATATATATATATATAGATAGATAGATAGATAGATGTATGTATGTATATATAAAGAAATAGTAAATTGAATGTTAAATATATAAATCAATTTAGAAATAATCTATTTTGACCCGTATCACCGAGTAAATATCTCATTTATGAAATTAAACAGATACGAAGAAAAAATTGTTTGAAATTGTATAGTCAAATTACAACTCATGCCTTCCGCCGAATACAGTTTATTTCGCTAATGTAGATTTACTCATGAAATAAAGTTTTTTTTTTCTTTTCTTTTCTGATGAGGCCATTTCATCTATGAAAAATATCAAAATAGAAATTTCCAAACCAATTATATGTGTGCGTGTGAGAGAATTAGTGGGTGGCACTTGAATGGTCTGTATCAAAGGTTAATATATATTGGGCCATATCGCTCTATAGAGAGGTTTGTATCATTCCGCCTCTGTTATGTGTCTAGTTATTAGTGAATACGTTCAGTACAGAAGAAAGACATCTATTTGTATATTGTGTTACTTATAGTAATAGAAAGTTTGTTATTATTATTAAAGTTTTCGCGTCTGCTTGCTGTTCAAATATTTCTTAGCGTGTAGCCTGTCTGGTGTTTTCGCAGTTCTTTCTCGGTCTCTCCTTTCTTTCTTCCTATGCAGACAATCTTCAATCTACCGGAGTGTTTGGAAGCCACAGCCTGTACATTGAACTAATAATGAAGCTATTCAGTTGACTCGCGATAAGAAAGACTCACGAATACTATGCCTTCATTACTCTCATTTGTTTTCATTTTTATTACTCCATTTTTTTTATGTTTATTTGATTTCTTTTTTTTATGTGGATTTCTCATATATATATATATATATATATATATATATATATATATATATATATATATATATATTTTTTTATCGATTGTTTTCGTCTTTCTTTATTATTGTATTTCTTTTCGTCATTGTTTGTTTCAGTTTTTTTTCCGTTTACGTAAAGTTTTTTTCTTCTTCTTCTTCAACTCCGTCCTGTTTACATTTCTCGCAGATATTCGTCTTCCTTCTTCATATCTTCATGTTCGTTCCAATTTCCTCTGACAACTATCATCGTTTCTGAATTTCGCATATTCCAAATACAAAGAGGTTTTGCGCAGGTGGTAAACTTTTCACGATTCAGTCAGTCTTTTTTCTTTTTTTTTTTCTTTTTGTACTTTAAGACTCTGTTTATTTTCAGGCACCCCAATGATATTTGATGATATTTGATGATATTTAATGATATTCATTAATTTGAATTTAAGTTTAAATTTACTTATTATTTTTAACTTGAGAATTTCAACAATGACAATGTCAAACTTTGAAACGATGAACAAAACTGTTACTTTCAAAATTATGAATACTTGTTTTTTTTTTATGATAGAATCAATTCAGAACGCCTCTGATCAAATTTGTATATACGTCATTAAGGAAGTACAGCTGAAGTATTTTTTTTCTTTTTCTTTATTTTTTTGGTTTTTACTAAAATTTACTTAATCTGAGACACATCTCGCACGTTTATAAATGCACCATTGGACCCTGCATGGAATATTCCTTCAACATCTTGTCTGCTGCCTCTGCTATATATCTTGTAGTTCTTACAAATTCCAAAGAAGAATTTGTAAAGATATCGGTCATGACCTGGGATCTCGACATTCGTCACGTTTCCAATACCGTAATGTGGCTTCCCTGTGCTTTTTCTCTAAATGTTTTCGCGGAAATAATTCTGATGAGCTTAAGGATTAAATAATTTAAACTCTCCTACAGTTGACTAAGAAAAGGTAGTAAAATGCATATAAGCATAAAGAACTTGAAGACACAGAAATTTGATTCTACTGGAGGATGCTGAGAATCCTTCAGTAGAACGTCATTTTTTATGCCCTGTCGGTAAGCAATCAAAGATAGGTGAATTTTCTAATCTTTCTTATTCGAGTTTGTGTGTATTCCCTTCGTCCGAGAATAGGTAAATAGTGGCCCTTTGTAGCTCAGTCTTTACGCATTTACATGATAAATAAATATACTTTAAGTCAATGAATATCGATCGATCAGTTCTGAGTTTATAAATATTCCCTTTCCTTAGGTGAACGTTTAATAATGATCACCCAATGCAAAACTCACGGGGCACTTAAGCTAATGCGTTACTGTGTCGTATGCTTTGATATCTTAAAAAGAGAAGCACATTTCAAGGGGTTATGTAGGAAAGATAACGGTTACTCCTAGACTTGAAAAAGTTATGATTGTTTAGTGATCGGGAAAATATACTGCAGTAGTTTTTTTTTTTTAAGCATTACGCCCCGAGCAAGGATGCAGGGGGTTGCGGAAGATTTGGAGCGAGAGCAGATAGGAGTGATAGAAGAAAGGATGAGGAGAAGGATAGTGGGTAGATCAAGGTAACTGGAGATGTCGGTTGACATTACATTTGAACAGTTGGAGATTATAGCTCTAAGGTAAACAGTAATTGGGGAGGGTGTTCCACAGGCGAGAGGTGCGAGGTATGAAGCTATTGGAGTAGAAGAGACGGCTACATTTAAAAGTTTCTACAGTGTAAGGGTGGGAGCGGGATTCCAGCCTCGTAGGGCGCTTGAATTCATGGAGTCTGGGAACCAGTGAAAGCAGCTCAACGGAGCAATTACCATGAAAATATATGTAGAAGAGACAGAGAGAGGCGACGGCGCGTCTGTGAGAGAGCAACTGTAGACGAGACGCCAGATCAGGGCCATTTATATTACATATCCGTCTCTGGATCTTGTCAAGAACTCCGAGGTAAGCAGAAGGTGCTCCAGCCCATATATGGCAGCAATACTCCATGCAAGGGCGAATGGTTGTTCTTGGGAAGAATCTGTCCGAGTTACATCTTATTACTGAAATACAAACGGAATGTTACCAACTTGCGTACGTGGCATGATGAATCTCTAGGCCGAAGGTCAGCACTGGTAGGACCAAGGAATATAGCTCATCTGACATCTTATCATTGTAATAGCGATAGATTAGTAAGAAGTTTGTAACGTTTCGTCTGTGGGAAAAGAATTATAAGGTGTTAAATTTTCCACCTTAGAAGGCTGCGTAGACGCTTTTTTTTATCAAGACAAGCAACTGCGGACTGGACAACGGTAGCCCATATACGGTATGGCTTGTAAAGATATGGTATCTCAGGAGAAGTCAGATACTGACTGGAGTGGTAAAATGAACCAACAAGTTTCACAACTAGTTTAGCATTACATCGTATACATGCGTTCCCGCTTCAGGTGATCTTCCTTCCGGTGCAGATACCTATTGGTGGTTTACATTTGAATCCATACACATTTAATTGGTTTGCGAGTAGCTTAATATTTATTTTAACATTTGCGTCTGTAAACATTATTCTGTGTGCTTCCTAAATTTAAGGAACATTTGCATGATTCGCAAGGAATGAAATCGGGGGCTAAACTTTCGCGTTGACACCGCCATCGGAGATAATTAAATATTTGTCTTTGTCTTGACAAGTCTTTTCATAATGTCTCCCTTTTATGGGAGATTTATTTCCTGTTTACATGGGCTGCTGTAGGCGTAGTCTACGTTGTGCCAACTGGAACTAAAATATTATTTAATAACCAAATTTAAAGTATTGTCGAGAGAAGCTTGTATCCCATACGAGCAGCAATGTTTTACCTCCTAATTTTATGAAGATAAAACATAGGACAACATTTACATTATTCGGACTATTGCCCTCATCTTTATTTTCATATTTATCACATAGTTTCGGCCGTTGTACGCTCCAGACTTCTTCAGGTGGTTGGAATGTCTGCCCCAGTGAGCGAAATAAAGTTCGACATTCCAACCACCTGAAGAAGGCTCGCTGGGGCAGGCTGTTCTAGTTCTACGTGCCATGTCGCTTGGATGTCAGTTATCTCCTGTTAATTCACCTCTCCAAGTTCTCCAATGGCTTAACCAGGTATTGAACTCACAACTCTTTGGGTCCTGTCCCTTAATCTAAACAATAACTTTATCGTCTGTGCCATGTGTCCTTAAAGACAACGGCCGGAACGTTGTTATAAATATGGCAACAAAGCTGAGGACAATAGTCCGAATAATATAAATAGTGTACATAATACCTCATCTCAGAAATATAGACAGATACTGATAGGACAACATCTTTGAAAATTAATTTTTTGACAAATTTAAATACTGTCGTCAAAGCATCGTTATTATATGATGAACAAAAACCAGTTCTTCATTTAAATTTTTGTTTTTAGAATGTAAAACTATACGTCAAAACTTTTGAGATATTATTTATTTAGCAAATGTAAAGTAACTCCGAGAGAAGCTTCGATCCCATATAATTGACAAATCTTGTTTTTCATTCGAATTCCTACTTTCATGGAGAATAAATGTTCGTCACGATTCTCTGAAAACTATTTTCCTTCTTCGTATTTTATTTCAAACATGCGTGTCGTCGCAACATTTTCTGTCATAGTACATATTTGTCTCTTTCTCTACGCGTTGACTCGTGCAAATGCTTAAAGCACCTTCGATATTTTACATTTCGACACTGTCCAGACTAAAGTATTGTCCTCTCAGCATGTGAACGACCAGATGTCGCCATAACAAGCGAACGAAATAAAGAAAAATGGAAGGCTTATTGATTTTTTTTTTCAACAGCAGGAGAACTTTCTCTTATCAGAACAGTTACACTTGAGAGAGATGTCAAAATAAAGTTGTGAATAAGTTCTCTAGAAATCTCAACATGTTGAAAAATTACAGACCGTAGATATTTTTGTCCCAAGGCAATTATCACTGGCGACTCCATTAAAAGAAAACTGTTTTATTTAAAAAGAAAAAAAAAATAATGAATAAATAAAAGATTAAAATCCAAAATTCTGAAAATCGAATTTGGGAGAAAGTTTTTATTTAATCGCATATACACGTGTTAAATGTTGCTCTAGAAACCGCATAATCCATGATTTACGGGGCTTGTATTTGTATTATGCCTATTAAATCTGTACAGTATTCTTCGGAAATAGGCTTGTCACTCAATTACACACCATTCCATCAAAAGATGCTAGGCTGATCTGCGATAACACCAACCGGGTTTGGAGGTCCGCGTTTCACCCGTTGTTAATGGTGAAATCGGGAAGTGCACGACTGCAGGTTTAATCGCAACTGATATGTGCGCGCTTGAAAAAAAACAAAAAAACTGTTAGCCAGATTGACATATAAACAATCTTTCCAACATATAGGTTGACAGTCTCTCAGATATCGCTGTTCAGACTGCAAGGTCGACGTTCAAAGCAGAGGTAACGGAGGCGCTTTCCTTAAAACCAGCTGAAAATAAACACTGAAGTAAGCTTTATATAATTATTCGTATGAGAGAATTAATCTCTTTTTATCAATTAATCGACACCTCCACTTGATTAGACCCTTGCATAAATAAAGTGGTCTACGTAGTAAAAAAAAAAAGGAGGGAAATGAAGAAACACGCCTCCAATATATGAAATTACAAACATTAATTTAACCTTTCACAAACTACGCAAAATATATGTAAAATAGCATCTCGGTAACGTGTCCTGTTAAGTCCATTCCTAGAATAGTCACCCACAGGACTATAGAGCCCATTATGTCCTTCTCTTTACACAGTATTAATTATTTTCCTAAAGGTGGGGGGGGAGAGATGGATTCTTACCTTTTTCCAAGCGTAAGTGAATGTAACGCACATAACGGGAATTGAAACCTGGTACTCAGTGTCATTTTTCTCTTGATTGTACAAGAATGTAAAAATCCATGATAGATATATTTATCTACCAATTTATTCAGGGTTTTAGGGATAGGTTATTTCATTGATCTTACAGCGTAGCAGGTTATTTAAAGCCAGAATACAGAAAGTCTTCGCGTTACGTCGGACCCGACTTACGACATTTCGTGGTTACGTCGTCATCTCCTATAATATAATACTCGTCATGCGGCTCTATATGAGAAAGACGGCGTTCTTTCATCACCAGCTGTGTGCCATGTTGGATTGTGCTACATTCGCTCTCTCTCGTTTGATTTGTTGTTTTTATTGGGTGGGGGGAC